TACATACATACATACATACATACATACATACATACATACATACATGTATGAAGCTGCGAACTGACACACAAATATTTCAAGCCTTAGCTCATTAATCTATCTGTCACTGACTTTGGTGAGCAAGATCAGTGAGTGTTTCACAGATGATCATGTTCTGTAACAACAAACTACCATTAACATTTACCTGGAAACAAAACAACGAAATAGATCATTCCCCAGAAAAAGAGTTGTTTTTTAAATTCCTCGGGGGTTCATATTTGTGATTGATATTGATTGATCGATTGACGTCAACAATTTATAGTTGTTAACTTGTTAGGCATCGGAAATACGTAGATAGATTTCTGGTAAAAGAATTGTTGTTTCTTGTCTAGACGGGCATGTTTAGCAGCTGTTGTTGAATATTTCTAAGTCTTACCTTTTATGAACATTGAATGGCGTCATTTTAGGCTATTCTCCTTCTTCTTTGGGAGTCAAGTCTGGAGCAAAACATTGACGATTATGGTATCCCATTCCTTCGTGTTGTTTGTCTTCCTAATAAGTTTGGTTTTCTTTTCGTGTGATTTGTTGCAAGGTTGTTCAGGCATTCTGCGTATGCTGGGAGGGGGTGGTCTTCCTCTGCTCTTCTTTCACTCTCTATTTCCACACACTTTAAGGCTATAGTGTCGTCCTATAGCTGTATCTGTCGTCAGGACCAGTATAAACACACATTTCAGCTCCTGTTTTTGTACTCATTTCCTGTCATCTGAAGTCGTCTCCAAAACCTGAGTCATTTTAATAGAACAGGATACTGCCTCAATCATTTCCATGTAGTGTCATGGCTCTCCATTCTTTCCTTTCCTCAGAAGTTCTTTAAAAAGTTACATTATCCTGACTTTTCCCCGTCAGACATCTCTTTAGGCTCTCCAAATAGGTCTACCCCTGCAACATTTACCTTCAATTTTGCCAGAGAGTGCTAGACGTTTAAGGCGCCTGTATGTCTATTCAAGTGTCCCAGGAACTGTATTTTGCCTTTTCCCGATTGTTTTTATCTTAAATATACAAGTTGAAAGTATCTCTTCGCATGACGTCATGGCGACCCAGACAAGGGCCTACAGAGAGAGGTAAGACAGATGTATCGATTTACTTATAGATGGGTTGAGAACTCACAGCCTTTCAGAACTTTCATTGTGATAGTAATTAGGAAGTTTCTTTTTGCAGCATTGGGCTCATTTTATAGAAACTATCTTCAGCCATCGTAATTCTTCCTTTTATTTTTGTGCACCAAAAGAAATCTTATATCCTTGATATTTTAAAGTACTCAATGTGTTTATCTTTTTATTTAAATTATAAGTTTCGTTTGGCAACGAGTAGCTGGATAGCGATCAGGTGCTATCTGTTGCCCGTGGCGACCCTACCAAGCGAGGAGTTCAGAGCTGGATCATGGACTTCTTTAACGCTTTTATCTGAGATTCATTCATAAAAAATGGATGTGTCTTGCCATGATTTTCTTAGGATATTACATCAGTGGTTTCCCTTTCCTATTGCCTGTTTGTGTCCAGTTTTTCTTTTCTCGCCTTACCTTTGTCATCTCTTGACAATCCACAAGGCAGTGACGGCTGTACGATTTACGACAACTCCTGTCGCCAAGATGATCCCTTCTTTGAGTATATGAGCCATTTATTGAAGCACCTATGCCACCAGGGTTTTTCCCTCTAATCTCCGCGACCATCTCCCATTTTGTTTGCCACTGATTAGCAGCTACCCTCTATATCTGCAGGCCACCGGTTGGGTATGCGGATCCAATACTCAATCTTTAGTACTGCCGCAATAGTCTCATCAAATTCAAATAATTCAAAAGTATAATGTTCTGCTGTGTGCATGTTTTGTATGTTTATTAGTCTGGGAGTTTGGTGGGTTTTGGTTTTGGTTGTTGTTGTTTTTTTTGGGGGGGTTGGAGGGGGTATTTTTGTTTTGTTTTGTTTTTCTTATTTCTTCGCACCGCCTCGTCAAGTGGAACCCTTAAACGATAGTGTACACATTTTCTCATTATTCAAAACAGTATCATCTGCACGCTATACAACCGGTGGAATTTGCATTCACTGCTGCGCTTAAATGAATAAGTAAACGATCAAATCAAGAAATTACTGCCAATTTCATTCCAGTTGTTGCAGCTGAGTTGCCACTTAAAACTAGTTATACAAAGAGTTTTAGTTCAAATCTCCTCAAAATTATACATGGACAGTCAAAATTTACACTATGTTATATATCACAAGGTCATATAGAAAAAGAGACATAACATGAAACTGCAGTTGAATCTGTGAGCCGGGCACAACAGGGGAGTAATGATAATCAACATTAGATCTCTAGGTACAATTTGAAGGACTGGATCCCCGTCGGTAGTTTACAGTGAATGAGTTATTCATTGCTACACGATGTTAAATGCCATCGTTTTATATATATATA